TACCTCAGGGTTGTTGTGAGGATCAGGTGAGATCGTAATTGTAAAGCGCCTTGCAGAGTCCCTGGCACATAGTAGGTGCTATATAAATGGTATAAATGTTAGTAACCTCTACATAAAACGGATGTTTCTATGTACATAGAACTGAGCAGGAGGTATCTGCAAATTTCTTCTGTACCACTTGCTTTTCAAATATGTAGTAACTTCAGCATGCAGTTTTCAAAGCTGTCATGCTTCTGTGTTTTCTGGCCTTCTCTGTTTCTCTGGGGCACCTTTCTTTTTTTTTTTTTTTTTTTAAGATGCCTCCAAAAACCATTTTTCTGTCCTTTTGATGGGAGGGCCTCCCTATCCCTGTCCTTTTCTTTCCTCACCTTTCCTACCTTCCATCCCCATTGGGGGGATAACAAAGCCCCTGTAACAGTCTGTATCCTGACATTGGCTGTGTCCCAGATTGCATGTGTCATTCTGCCCCTTGAGTCCAGGCCCTCTGTCCATTGGGGTGGGTAGCAGGCTCTAGGATGGTGGTTGGCCATGGCTGCGATGGAGGTTTCACGTCTTTCACATTGGTTTTTCTTTGTGATGCCCTTGTGTGACTCGTTCTTGGGCTCTGAGGCCTGCTGCGAGGCTCCCTGTGCAGTGTGTGTGAGACTTTGTTGGGGCCTCCCAGCTTGGCAGCTAAGTGCTACTGGCAGAGGGCCTCACGGGCAGAGTTTGAATCCACATCTCTCCTGAGTCAGAGTCTAAGTTTAATGAGAAGCCCCTGAAGGCTTTTGGATAGAGATGCCCTATCATAGCCCCTTATTCTTTCTCTGCTGTCTCTTCCCTCACACTCCCCTCACTTCTTTTCTCTCCTCTCTACATTCTATTAATTCTTTGCCTTGTCCAGCTTGGAAAACATTCCGACACTAACCTTGTGGCCTTGGCCAAGTCCAGCATTCTCTGGCCCTTGGAGTTGGCCATGTGTGAAGTGAGGGGCTGACCTACGCCCTTCTTTACCTTTTGTGGGGGCCTGGACGGTCTGTGGACGCCTCAGAATAATGTTTTTAGATGCATAAAGTACAGAAGATTGCAAAGGAAACCAGTTCTATTGAAGTGCAGTCATCAGAATACTTTTACAAGCTCACAGCCTGTTGTCCTGTTAAGAACCTGGATCTTCCAACCTGTGTTTCCGCCAGGCTTGAAAAGACTGGCCTTTTATGGATTGGCCAGCAGCTCTTTTCTGGTCAGTGAAATAACCCATCCTGATTCTGTGGGTAGAAGTCTTTTTGTTTGTTTGTTTATGTTTGCTTTATTTATTTATTTTTTTATTTTTGGTGAGGCAGTCAGGGTTAAGTGACTTGCCCAAGGTCACACAGCTAGTACATGGTCAGGTGTTTGGTCTGAGGCCGGATTTGAACTCAGGTCTTCCTGACTTCAGGGCCGGTGCTTTATCCACTGCACCACCTAGCTGCCCCTGAATTTCTGTCTTCTCAGTTGTTTTTGTCTGTCACCCCTTAAGGTACCACATTGTGGACTGCATTGACCTTCCTCCCTCCTCCACCTTCCCTTCTCAGCCTTTGGAACTGTTACAAGCACTTGAGGAAGCCGGAAGGCTGGGGTCCAGATAGTTTTGTTCTTAAAACCCAGCTGCTGGCCTCTGACAGCGGCAAGGGAGGCCATTCTGCCCAAAGGAGATAATAACTGTAGTCCCTTCTCCTCCCATGTGTTATACTGAAACATTTCAGCCGCTTCTCATTGGCTAGATCACTCGTGTTTCTGTTGTAATATTTTAAATCCTTCTAAAAACATAGAATCATACTCTCCCAAGCATGACTAAGAGTCTTAGATGTTTCAGTGTCTTCACAGCCCTGGAAGGATGGATGGATGGATGGATGGATGGATGGATGGATGGATGGATGGATGGATGGATGTGGGACTTGTCAGCAGGCCCAGTGGCCCCTTTTTGTCTTGATCTGTTGTGTAAGATCAGGCTGGCCTGTGTTTGGTCCCATTTGCACCGACATCTACTCAGTGGCCTACTTAAAGCCTGGCCTAATTAAAAGTTTTAAAATAGGGCTTTCTAAAGAAGGACTTGACAGTGTTGACAGTTGGATTGTAATTAATCTGGTGACGAAGTCAAAAATAATGGATCCAGTTTTCATTTTTAGCCCCATTTGAAATTGGGAAGTTAGTGTTTGAACAGAAAGGTCTTGAAGTTTCAGTGGAGTTAATGTTTGGCTCTTTAAGAGGCTGCCTGAGGCTTTCTGCGGTTCTAGTCTGTGTCCCTGTCCAGTCCAGTCCCTTCCCTTCACCGTCTCTTTTCCCACCACGTTGTGGTATGGCCTTAGAGTGGAAAGAAGTCTCTGCTTTGCCCCCACTCAGTTCTTCCCACCTGTAAAATGGGGTTAATAGAATCTTGAGAAGGAGCCTGGGGTCCAAGCCCTCTCTCTGGACTTGTGTCTGCTGTAAAGCATTTTGTAAATAGAAACTTTCTCCTGACTTGTTTTGTTTGAAAGATGTTCCCTAATTGAATCTGCCTGGGCGTGACTCCAAAATGGACTGAACTAATCCTGGCTTATACTTTGTAGGGAGAATATTCTCGGGGGTTCATATTCACAAAGTACTTTGTGCCCCAGAGGTTGAGATTCTAATCCTGGGTCCCATCATTCACCCAGGCACTGGGCCTTCTGTTTGCTTGGCAGATACAGGAAGGCGTGGCCTTGGTTTGATTGGAGGCTTTCTAAAGAGAGCCTCTAAATCTGGGGCCCAGGGATGCCAGGGGGGCCCTTGGGGGGATTTCGGGAATCCTAGCGGTGTTTGGTTTTCCTTAACCTCTACCCAATTTGCTGGGGGGGGGGGGGGGGGGGGGGGGCATCCTTAGGCTTTGCCAGATTGTTAGAGGCAATCCATTGCATGAAAAGGGCAAAGAAGCACCATGGACAGAAATGTGCCTTGTCCAGGTAGATTTCCACTGTCCCTTATGGTCTGTTGTCTGTCTATGAAAAGGGAATCGAAAGTGAAAGCAGAGCCTCAGGAGGGGGGTTGGGCGGGGCGGGGCGGTCTGTCCTTTGGTAGGTGAGAAGCTGAGGCAGCTCCCTTATACTGACAGGAGAGTGCAAGATGAGCTACGGACATTTGGAGGAAAGAGTGGGAGTCACAGCCCAGCTTGGCCTCTGGTCACTTAGTTGGCCTAAGGGGGGAGGGACCTCGGCTCTCCAGCCTCGGCGTTGTCCCCTTCTGCAAAATGAGGAAATGGAGATTCTCTTTGAATGCCTGTCCACTCTCAGGTCCTGATTCTGTGAAAAATGTGCCTTCCAGGGGGGCGGCTCAGGGGTCCGACTTCCAGGGGGGTGGCTCAGAGGTCCAGCGTCTAGGGAGGTGGCTGGAGGGTCAAGTACAGCCTGTGAACTGGTCTGCCCACAGCAGCGATTTCCTCACTTCACAGCTCTGCAGAAACACCCAGAGGAAGTAGCTCCCACCGCAGTGGTCCCCTGGCTGGCCCTTCTGTTAGCACATCCTGCCCCTTCTCTGTATGAAATGGACCTCATTTACCTTCCTCCGCGCTTTGTCACCCCCACATCCCTCAGGCCCCATTTACCATCCATTCATCCTTTGAGGCCTCTCCTGCCTGGCATAATCCATCTTGGTGTCTCCCCTCTTGGAGCCTGCACTTTCATTCTGCAAGAGCTTCCTAATGAACTCTTTCATATATCTGACAGATACCCAGGAAGTAGACCAGAAATAACGGTGTTTGAAAACTGGCTTCCTGTTCTCCGTGGGCTGTAGGGTGTACAGAGGGGGCACTGAGGATGGCGAAGGATCTCGAGTTCTGCCGTGTGGGGATTGGTGAAAGAACTGGGAATGCGTTGCCTGGACGAGAGAAAACTCCTTGGGAAAGGAGCCTGTCATGTGGAGGAGGGACCGGGCTCGTTCTCTTTGACTTGGGAGGGCAGGGAGGGGAACAGAGGCACATTTAGACCTAATTTTCTAACAATTAGAGCTGTCCAGAAATGGAATAGTCACCTTCTGCCTTCATGGGAGGGCCTCTGAGATCCCTTTCAGTTCTTGGTATTCTGCGCTTGGGGGAAATTATACAAGCTTTCGTTGTTACATTCAGATGAAGAATGCTACCTCATATTTGTATAGCACTTCCTAAGTTAGAGACATCATCTCATTTGATTCTTACAACATCCTTGGAAAGTAGGTAAATCAGAAACCATGCCCCCATTTTAGGGCCACGAAAATGCAGGGCCAGAAAGTCAGTGACTTAGCGAGATCCCACATAGCTAGTAAATGGCACCCAGCATGTGAACCCAGGTCTTCCAGTAATAGCAGTAATAATAGCTAACATTTATATAGGGCTTACCATGTGCCCGGCACTGTGCTAAGCACTTTACAAACATCTTGTTCGATCCTTACACCAACCCTGGAAGGTAGATGCTGTTATTGAACCCATTTTACAGATGAGGAAACGAGGCAGAAGGGTAAAGTGACTTGCCCAGGATCACATAGCTGCTAAGTGTCTAAGGCCAGATTTGAACTCAGGTCTTCCTGATTCCAAGTCCGGAAGGCATAGGTGTTGAGAACTGTACCATTGCCATCAAACCTTATCAGGAAGTCTAGTAAAGTCTGCCTCTTCTTCCAGGAAAGGGTGTGTGTGTGCATGTGTGTGTGTGTGTGTGTGCGCGTGTGCGTGTGTGTGTGTGTGCGCGCGCGTTTGTGTGTATTTAGTGCGCTTCAGAGGTAGGAAGTTACTTCATTTGGACAGACCTGTGTTGATTCACATTTTAAGTGTCAAGGTCAAGGTTCTTCTTGAAGGGGAAGCCTGGTGTTGAGGTGTCACAGAGAGAGTTCAGGTCTTGGAGCCTGGATACCCGGGACAAAAAAGCTTCCTGGCTTTGTGACCTTGGATGAATCATCTCACCTCTCCGAGCCTCAGTTTCTCCACATGAATTTCAGTTGTTAATAGCAGTGTTTCTTATTTAAAATCATACTCAATTCTGATTTGTTTTGTTTTGTTTTAGGTATCCAAGCCCACCTATGGGCTCTGCCTCAGCACCCAACCTGCCTCCTGCAGAAGAAAGTGTGGAGTATGTGCGGACTCTGTATGAATTTTCTGGAAACGACCCTGAAGATCTGGCTTTTAAGAAGGGTGAGGTCTTGGCCATTGTCGAGAAACCCGAGGAGCAGTGGTGGAGCGCACGCAACAAGGATGGGCAGGTTGGGATGATTCCTGTGCCTTATGTAGAGAAGCTGGTGAGATCTTCCCCTCACGGCAAGCACGGAAATCGGAATTCCAACAGTTATGGGATCCCCGAACCTGCTCATGCCTACGCCCAGCCTCAGACAGCAAATCCTCTCCCTGCGGTCTCCAGCCCTCCAGGGGCAGTGATGAGCCCCCCGCCCTCCACCCAGAACGGACCTGTCTTTGCAAAAGCGATTCAGAAGAGAGTCCCCTGTGCTTATGACAAGACTGCCTTGGCCTTGGAGGTAAGTGACCATGCTCAGAGCGTAGGGGTGGGTGTGCGTGCGAGTGCGCTGTCGGGAACCAAATATACCCACCATTCACCTTTCCTTCCTTCTCCCACATTCTTGGTCTCCTTGATTGAATCTGTGGGAAATTTTCATGACTTCGTATGATATTCTTGGGAGCAAACTAGGGACAAATCTTTTTCTTGACATTTTGATAAAAGCACACCAGGGCAATAGAGGAAGAGGCAGGACCGTGTGACCTTGGGGAAGTCACTCGCTTAAGGTCTCGGGGCATTGGCATCCTCCTCTGAATAGAGAATGGAGCTTTGACCTACCAAATGGTCCAAGTAAGAGCTGAGCTTAAATCAGCCGAGTAGGTGCTGTGCTCCAGGTTGGTAGCATTACTGCTGGGTCAGAAGTTGCCTTATTTGCCACAGGAGGGTGGAGGACTACTTAGTAGAGAAGAGAGGATCAGGGAAGGCCTGGTAACATCTGGGGCCAGTTAAGGGAAGCCCTTCCTGAGCATGACCTCCCACCCAGGCACCAAGCCGGAAAAAGACTAGACTGAGTGTAGCCTGGTGGAGCCCCACGAGTTACTGATCTAGGGCCTGGAGACTGATGGGACCGGCTCCCAGCCAGGAAGGAGGCCAGTTGGTGGTGGAGTCCACTAGTCATAACTGACCACAGAACGTGCGAGGCTTTCGTTGGTGAAGGGAGTTCCACATCCAGTGTGGACCTGACACTTAGTCTCCCAGGGAGTGGTTTAGGCCCTGGAGGTGTTTGACTCGACTTGTCCAGGGTCACACGGCCACTGGCAGAGGCAGGGCTGACCCCAAGGACAGCTCATTCCATTTTGCCGTAAGGACTGTCTGTAAAGTTACTTTTAAGGCTTCTTTGTAATTGTATCTTTCTTAGCTTCGCCTCCTTTCCCTGTAATACTAGCACAAGGAGCCTATTAACTCGAAAGGAGACAAGGTGAGACACTGAGGAACTGTTGTGCTTGGGCCTGGAAGGAAAGAGGCTTGGAGGCTTGGATGGAAGAGGATGGGGGGAGCAGGTGGGGCCTCCCCTCCCTGGGCCCCCACCCACATCTTCAGGTGGGAGCTCAGAGGCCCTCGTCACTGTCTGCACCTGAGTCGCCTCCGAATCCAGTCCCGAGAGAGAGCCTGGGGGGAGCAGAGGGCACCTCAGCATCTACACCAGTATGGCTGGGATCGAGCAAATAGAATGACAGTAAATTGCATTAAGAGAACAAATAGTCCTCCTGTGAGGTGTCGGCTGTCAGTGTTGAAGTGAGCCTTGTGGACTGCTTCTCCTTACCTGCTGTTGATTTTACAGAATTGTGGCAGAACGACATCTCTGCTTGCTTCAAAAGAGAGAGCAGGGACACTCTTTCGATGCTCTTGGGAGGGATGCAATTAGGCTACCAGGAAGTGAGGAGGCAAGTAGGGCAGGGCGTGCCTCGGCACCTTTGACAATGCCCAAATTATAGTGGCTCAGGGGACTGTTCTGAAAATGACTTGAAAAACTGCATGGTGGGTTAGTTTTCAAGAAGCCGGATAGGCAAAGACAGCAGCTCTTGGGATGTGGTCTGCTCAGGCTGTTTGCGGGAGTGTCTCTGGCCTGGCCCTGGCCAGATGCCCCTGAGCAGGCCGAGAATGGCTCTGCAGGCGCAGCTCTAGAGAAACACTGATCAAGGAGGGGAGACCGAGGGCTGAGTTTTAGAACTAGAGATCATTGTCATCATCGTCAACTTCTGACAGTAAAATGCTGTCCCGCGTGGGATGGTGGAAGATTTCAGGGGCCTGGGAGCTAGTCTGGGTTTACTAGCAGTAGGAGAGGAGAGATCCTGCCCCGAGCCACCCACTGCTGGCCTGGGAGGAGCCAGGGTTCTAGCTGCAACCTCAGGTTCTGGGGGGGAATCTCTCTCCCCCATGCCAGGGCACTGGGTCAAGGTGGATAGATCCATTGTACAGCAGGAAGAAGTGAGAGCCAACTCAGGAAATTACTCGTCTTGGTGGCCCAAGCAGTTCCCTAGAACGATAACGGCTGGCTGACATTTATGTTGCACTTTACAAGTATCATCTCACTCTGTCCTCTCAATGACTCTATTATTACCTACATTGTTCTTTAGTTGTTTTCGGTTGTGCCTGACTCTTCCTGACCCTATTTGGGGTTTTCTTGGTGGACTTACTGGAGTGGTTTGCCATTTCCTTCTCCAGCTTATTTTACAGATGAGGAAACTGAGGTAAACAGGGTTAAGTGACTTGCCCAGGGTCACATAGCTGCTAAGTATCTGAGGCTGGATTTGAACTTGGGTCTTGTAGCTCCAAGCCCCTCATTCTATCCACAGTGCCACCTAGCATGCCTCAACAATTTACAGATGAAGAAACTGAAGCAGGCAGAGTTTCAGTGCTCTGCCGAGGGCCACCCACCTGGGAAAGATCTGAGGTTGGACTTGAATCCAGCACCCACTCCATCCACTTACCACCAGCTGCCTCTCAGACCACAAGCTGCAGGGCAGGAGCTGATGATGAGCATTGGGGGAGGAAGCCGTGTCCCTGCGAGTTCAGCGCAGAAACCAGTCTGGGCCCAAAAACCCTTGTTTTTTTTTTTAATCAGAAGTGATTGGGTTGCCTTAGTCCTTGAGAAGCTAACTTTCTGCCCTCAGGTGAGACGAATGAGGAGAAGCATTTTTTCAGACTTAGGTGGAGTGCCTCTGAGGCATTAGCAGGAGGCAGGAGGTGCCTGTGCCATTGGATCATTTGGTTTTGTTGAGCTGAGATGCCATCAGCGCACATGCCGGGCCCATGCTGGCGCGTCCCTGTGGAGTCCTTCAGAGGCGATGGGCCCTCCAGGTCATGCCCCTCATCATCGGAGGGTATGACTAGCTCACCTCTCTCTCTCTTCAGTGGATTCTTTTATTCCACTCAGTAGAATCATGGAGTTGGGAGGGACCTGCAGGCTGACCATGTGTGGCCTCTTAGCTGCCCGTACAGCAGAGGATCTGCCCAGCTTCAGCTTGACCATACAGGTGATGCCAAGTGGTCTCATGCTCAAGGAATGTTTTCTTTGCCTGAAGCCTAAACCTGGCCCTCTGTAGCCTCTTCATTGCTCCTGGTTCTCTACTTTGGGCCAGAGGGGAGCCTAATTCCATCAGCCAAAAGCCTGCCCCAGGAGAGACCTCTCCCCCCTTCCTTCCTTCAGCTGGTCCTCATGGCATGGTCATCTTCCCTGTCCTGTCCTGGCTCTTGTCTGACTTCTCTGGACACTTCTACCTGATCATGGTATTCTCGAGGTGGTCTGAGGAGAGAATGGCAGGGCTGTCACTCCCCTTATTTGGCGAATTTGCAGGCCACTGAAAAACCTAGGACTTTATAACAATTATTTACCTGTGCTGTCCCCCAAACTGTTTGTTTCTGTTCCGTTTTTTATAAAGCACACGGGGAAAACTCAGCTGGCCAACATAAACTAGCTGCTGTGTGACGGGGTCCTTTTGTTTAACTTTGCCTCAAAGGATCATGGAAATGTCCCCTGTTTACAGTTAATTGTCTCTGTCAGTGCTATTGGCTAGTGATGGAGGCTGCCCAAAGCGGTACCTGAGGTTCCCACAGTGACTTAGAAAACCACATATTAACGTTATCTATGTTCTGTTGTATTTTTATTTTGTTAAATATTTTCCCACTCATATTTTAATCTGGTTCAGACCTCCCTGTGGGGGACACCTCTGCTGTGTGCTGTCCCACTTCATGATTTTCAAAGATTCCACGTGGCCCCATTAGCTCATCTGTCCCAAATACAGCAAGTGAGGAGAAGGCAGGCCAACTGAGGTAACTGCAGTTTCCTGCTGTGCATCGTTTCCATCCAGAAACTTGTGCCTTTGAGATCCTACCTCCCACTCCTTTCCCCCCACCCCCAAACAAGCTTTTATTAGAGACTCGTAATTCTCCATCCACATAGACAGAGATCTGAAAGGGACAAGGAGTACAGGAATGCCTTGGAGATTCCGAACTGCCCTAGAATTACAACTGGCCCCCTCTGTCTCGAGGCACCCCAGTAGCTAGCGTACCAGCCCATCCATGACACGAGCCCCGCGGGCATGTGCAGGTGTCTTCAGATGGAGTCTCTCTGGAAGTGTAGGCCAGCTTTCTGGGAGTGAGAAGTGGCCTTGGCCTTGCCCTTGAGTTCTCTGACCACAGGCTCAGAGGCCTGCTCTTGGTCCCCATGACACTTTTTTGGGCTCGATGTCACAGTTCCAGGTGATGACCCCCGTCTGTTATCCTGCCACTTCCCTTCTGCCCTCTGGTGCGAACTCCCCGGCAGCTTAATTTGGTCTCTTCCAAGACGACTGTGTCCCTTTGTCTTCTGCAGTTGATCCTTCGTTGGTGACCCCGACGCCTGATCATGCCCATTGTGACTTCCTCCCAGAGCCTTGTCTGTAGCCCATCTCCATCGCCACGCTTTGTACAGAATTGCGCTATTGAAAGCCATGGAAAGAACGTGTGGGCATGCTGATCTGACCCATCTGCAGGACTTCCGGTCTGTGGCTCCTGGACTGACCCAGCTAGTGCCCATTCAGCTGTGGGCAGGGTGGGGCCTCGGCAGGGTTCTGGAGTGCAGAACGTCCCCTGTGGAGAGGATTGTGTTGTGAGGGAGGACTGTTGGATTCGCTTTGACCTTCATACCCTTGGCCAGTACCTAAGGTGAAACACATGCGTGTTTGGGGTAACGTTGGTCCTTAAGTGAGTCTTGAGTCAGTGAGGGCTATGGTAAGATTTTTATTTACTCGTTTGTAGTCTGTAGAGAAACAGCTGGAAGCTGGGTCATTTCAAGTTTTTCTGTTCAGTCTTATTCATGGATTCTCGTGACCTCTTCAGAATGCCTCTGAGAAGGGTCATGTGACTACACCCTCTGGCCTGGCAGGAGACCTGGATTCTAGTCCTGGCTCGGCCTCAGGCTGCTCTGTGATGTGGGCAGCCTCGGGGTATAGTAACATGAGCTCTGGGTTCGAATCCCAG